TATAAACATCTTTTATCTGTTCAACAAAATTATAAATTTACAAGGATAGATTTTGCATATTTCATTTATTTTAATTTTAATTTTATTTTCTTATAATTCTGACGCATAGTGAAATTTTAAAATCATGGCTCTAAAGAAAACAATTTGGCCAGTTTGGCAAAACCCCCCAAAGATCCAATCTGAGAATAAGTGTTTCGTTAAAGTTGATATCTTTGTCTGCCCTTCATCTTACTCCAAATCAAACCCTATATCAACAGTTCTGAACCTTTGACTGGAAAACTTTTATTTTTTATTTTTTATAATTTTTTTGTTGTAGATGGACACAATACCTTTATTTATTTATTTATTTATTTATTTTAAATATTTATTTTTTAGTTTTAGTTGGACACAATACCTTTACTTATTTTATATTTATTTTTATGTGGTGCTGAGGATTGAACCCAGGACCTCACATGTGCTAGGTGAACACTTTACCATTGAGCCACAACCCCAGCCCCTTATTTATTTATTTATTTATTTATATGTAGTGCTGAGGATCGAACCCAGGGCCTAAAGCATGCAAGGCAATTGCTCTACCACTGAGCCACAAACCCAGCCCCAAAACTTGTATTTTTTTGACATTTTTAGATGGACAAATAAATATTGTAACATTTATTGTGTACGGGTTGTTTTGAAACACATTGTCCTTATCATCCTTGGAGGATTGGTTCTGGGATCTCCTGCAAATGCTCAAATCCATGGATGCTCAAGTGCTTTATCTAAAATTGCATTGTTTATACATGTAACTTACCCATGACCTCCTGTGTTCTTTAAATCATCTCTAGATTACTTACAATACTTAATACAATGTAAGTGCTATATAAAGAATTGTTATATTGTATTATTTATGGAATGATAACAAGAAATATCTGTACATGTAAAGTGCTATGCATTTTTTAAAAAATATATTTTTTGATCTGTGGGTTATTGACTCCTTCAAAGCAGAGGCCTAAGAATATGAAGGATCACCTGTCCGAATATACTGTGGAATGGCTATGTCGAGCTAATTAGGATATGCACTAACTTGCACACCTCTCATTTTTTGCAGTTAGATTACTTAGCTAATCTCCTAGCAATTTTGGGGGAATATAATATGTTGCTATTAACTGTAGCCACCATTTTGTACAATTGCATATTTTTTCTCCCACAATCCCTATTTTATTTTGGGAACATATAACCCCCTTAATATTTATTTTCATGAGGAGACAACTAGTCTTCCACCTCCCAATTATTATTGATTTCCTTTGAAAATCACTGCTTTCACATGTACTAATCTAGAAAGCTGCTTCCTTACCTTGAATGGAAAAAGAAGCTTCTAGATGTCGAACTATGGGAAGTGAATTCTGAAGAGAGATGCTTTCTGGGAGGGAAGCGCCATCTCACACTCTAACTCATCTTTTCTTTCAAGGATAGGATTGTGAACCCCGAGTTTCTTGAGATGTCATTATGCATGCTGGGATTTAATCATCTGAGACCCCCCCACACACACATCACCTAAAGTGCCCCTGGGGACCAGGAGGACATTACTGTAGGAGAGAGGTAGGAGCTTAGAAAAATCCAGAGTGTGAGCTATGTAGTTCCCTGACCCCTCCTAGGCTCTAATATTAAATCCGTGACTCTTGAGAGCATTTGCTGAGGGAATCCATCATCCTTTTATTTTGTATTTCCTGGGTCTTATTCAATATTATGACCCTAGGGGGGAAAAATACCGCCACTGGTAGTACTTGAGTTAATGTTACTTGCAGCTTTATCCAGGAACAATTCTGCCATGAAATACTCAGCTGTAAAAGAAACGAGATGACTGAGAAGGATTCTTTTGAGTGTCTCTGGCATGCAGAGAGGCGATGGGGATCTTCGTGTGTACGTGTGGGAAAGTGAGGCGGGATGATAAATAGTGTGCTACCTCTCCTTTAAGAGCACGTCCTTTTATTTCTGACACTTAAAAAGACACTGTCAAAAAGATGTTTTACTGATTTGACTTTCTGTGCGGGAGAACGTGCAACAGTTACCTAGTAAGTGGTTTTATAGGGAGTTTCACCCACACGTTATAATAAACTGAGCCCGAAGATAACATATCTTTTGTGCTTTTACAGTGCTTGGATGATAACTGTGAAAAATTATCTAGTGGAGGTTAGCAAACTGTACCTGTGGTCTTTTTCTCATGACCTCTGTATGATAAAGTTGACTATCTTGGAGCATGATGCATCGTCAAATAATAGGTTTGCTTGTCTGGCCAACAAGAAGTAATTGAGGAGTGTTATAGTTTTACAATCGTGTTTCAGTGACTCTGTTGCTTTTGAGTTGTTAGACCTGAACAAAATGGGTCAATGTTGAAAGAATAAAGTTTTCTCTCTCTCCCCCCTCCCTCATCTCCCACCTTCCTTCATTTCCAAGTCTTTATTTTTTGTTTTGTTTTGTTTTTGTTTTTTTCAAGGGTAGGATGGGGTCATGGGCCTTGTGTATCATGATTTTTCTGCCCAAGAATTCTGGACTCTTCTTTTGGGGCTTCAGATGGAAGGTTTGATCTTAGTTTAATGACTAAAAGCCAATTTTATTTGACTTATCCATTGAGAACTCTTGTATTCTTTCTGTCTTTGGGGAGAAAATAGGTTAATAAGATTATTTTGTTCCTGGGGTTCTTGAGACTCCAGATGTATGTCTTTAAGGAATAATTTCCCCTGTACTTTCTTAAGACTTTTTGGGAATAGAGCAAAGATGAATGACCTAGGGTAGGTAGCAAATTAAAGGACATTTGATTTTGCTACATTCTATGTTCTTTGGGGCAGGTCTCACCAGAATTTCATAAAGTATTACACCTAACACTAGTTCCATGTAATGTGTGACGAAGTGAGTTTAGGAAACATTGTGTACCTAATCTAAACCCTTATTTTGGGGTCTCCATGATGAACATCAACACATGAGAAGCCTGGCGAAGTCCAAGAGAGAAACGTTCAATACTGGCATTTCCCAAGATGACCACAGAATCCCCCAAGAGCCCCAGCCTCCTGTACAGCTTATGTGCTGCACAATGTATTTAGGAGAATTTTGAAAAAACGGAGGTTTTTGTGATTTATAAATATAGCTGTTGTTCTTTCCAAAAAGAAACCATCAAGAGACCAATCACTGCTTAGCAACAGCCCCCCCACCGCCACCCTAGACATATGCACATATGTACTTATCTTAGAAATAATTTTTTAAAAATTGGGCTATCAGAATCAAAACTTGAGAACTTGTGCATGCATAGAAAGAGTTATTTTACTGTTATGATAGCCAAGGAGCTTTTTAGGAAAATAAACAAGATAAATGATTAAGATTTGCATTTGTGTAGGAGTGTTTGATGGACTTGTTTGTGTTTGCTGCTGGTGAGAGTTATGGGAAATGAAGGAGGGAACTACTGGGGTTTGGGAGAGAATTTATTTCAAAGAACAAAAATCGCAGGTATGATTGACCAGAGGTGAAAAGGAAGTGATGGGTCAAGGATGTAGATCGGAGGTAGAGCACTTGCCTAGCATGTGCGAGGCCCTGGGTTTAAGCTCCAACCCCGCATAAAACAAAAACAGAAAAGCTAAAATGAAATGGAGCAATGGTTCCTCTCTGGTGTGTTGCCTGCTGCCTGAATATGGCAGCCGAGCGGTGGCACCCTCCCTGCAGAAGGGAAGGCTGTGTGCCAGCCCCATACTGCCTTGGGACTCCTATAGGAGATATGAATGGAGGGATGATAGCTATTAGATAAACCAGCATCCAGTGACAATGACATGGCTTAGGGAGCATGACTCAGTAGCTGAGAAGTGGGCAATGATAGCAGCGTGAGCAGTAGCCCTGGGGAGACAGAGAAGGGCCTTGGAGGTGAGTTGTGGCAGCTGCATGGTATGTGGAAAGTATACAGATTTAAACTGGGAGTTCTGTGGACATACCTCCCCCTCTGCCAGGGGCTTGAGAATCTTGAAAGCAGGTCATGGGGGCTAATAGAAGCTAGCACCTCTATAAAAATAGAACTTAATTTGCACCACAGGGTAAAGTCCTATGACTCTAGCAAATTACACTCCTGGCCAGTCGAGTCCAACTGTTGCAGACAGAAGAGACAGACACTTCAGGGAGTGCAGCTGGGCCATCAGATGAGGTCCCATAGGATCGTTGTATTAGTTATGTATTGCTGCATAACAAATCACCTCAACCCTTAAAGGCTTAAACCCATATAAATATTTATTATCTCACATAGTAGGGCAGGAATTCAGGAGCAGCTTATATGGGTGGTTCTGTCTCAGAAACTTTCATGAGGTCAAAGTGAAGGTGTCATCTGAAGGCTTGACTGGAACTCAAGATCTGCTTTTCAAGATGGCACACGACATGGCTATAGGCCCAGTCCTCAGTGCCTTGCTGGCTGTTGGCAGGAAGCCTCAATTCCTTCCCATGTGCCTTTATGACATGGCAGCTGGCTTTCCCCAGAATGAGTGATCCTTTTATAACCAAGACTCAGAAGTCTAACACATCACTTTGCTATATTCTCTTTGTTAGAAGCTTAACACTAAGTCCATCCCACATGTAAGGGGAAGGGAATTAAGCTCCACTTTTTGAAGGGAGAAGTGTCAAAGACATTGTGGATGTATTTTAAGACCACTACAATGGTGGTTCACTTCTATTTAATCCCTTCAAGAAGTTAAAGGGTAATAGGAGTGTCAGGGAACATAGGAGAGAAAGGTGTGGATAAATGTGCTGGCCTGCCCAGAGGTGAAATCTATTATGAGTTATAGAAAAATCTTTTTTTTAATTTATTTTGAAATCAAAAGATGGGCTCCAGACAGGATTGCTTGTTAAGTTGGATGAAATTAAAAATAGCTTAAACGTTTGGGAAGAGGGGGGAGATGATTAGTTCTCAGGATATATTAAATGTCCTCACACGAGAAGGGAGTCAGCTATTGGGAAGGGCTGCTTTGGAAAACATATGCTGTGTCAAACTCTGCCAGCAGATGCAGAATCTGCTGCTAAAGTTAGCTCCCGAGAACAGGGCTGGATGGGCTGCCATCACAGATGTCTCTGGAGCCAGCACCCGAGACAAATATAATTCTTACCCCTGGAAAGCAAGGCTCCATGCTAGAGCTTCTCACCCCGGTGGAGGGGTTAAAGGGAGGTGTGAAGGCAGATTTAGGACCCCAAATGCCGACTTCTCTGTGATTCCTGAGAATAACGGATGATTTTGAAGCCACAAGGTATGCTGGTATTTTGCATTTCTAAATTTGGGAATCCTTCATAAGGTGAATTCTTGTTTCTTTAAGAGGAACCCAAGGCCTGATTGGAAGGCTTTTGAAACATATATTTTGAGATTTATAGTCTGAAATGTTAGAGGAGATGAGATAAGTGTGCAGAATGCCTAAAACAGCCGAAGAGGAGTTAGAGCACAACAATAATGAGAAATGATTTAAGTGATTTCTTTAGTGCAGGAAGCAAACACTTTTCCCCCAACAAGAAGGGGACCCAGTTTTATGGCTGATGACAGACAGATGTTGTCCCCATGCTGAGCAATCCAACATCATAGAGCAGGGTTTCCCAAAGTAGATTTCATAGAATTCGGTCCACAAGGATGCCTCACTGAAGAAGAATACTATGACTAATGAATCTGGGGAAGGGTGCAGCACGAGTCTCCTATTAGAAACGTTCAGCATTGTAACGGCTTTGAGAAGTCCTGGAATGAAGAATCCTGCTTAATTTTGTTTGGTTCCTTAGTTCCCAAATAGATGACCCTGGAGTTCCCCTCCCCCAACTTCTATGGATCTTCAGTTTCTATTTCTATCTCTTCAGAGTGCCAGCTTTGCAGGGAAAGTTTTCATCTGTTTTATTCATAATTATGGTCCCACAGCCAAGAACAGTGCCTGGAACTAGAGGAGAAAGTGCTGAGCTGTAACAGAGCTTTAGCTTTGGACCCCTCCGTTTACACACGTTTCCTTCTGGGGCCCTGGATCCACTGCTGGCTGGGACATATTAGGTGCTCAACAAATAATTATTGAGTAAGTGAATGAACAAATGGGCACTGTGAAGCCGGTGTTCCTTGCAACATACACATTGGGAAATGCCATTCTAGAGACAGGAGACCCCAGACAGGGGAGCACAATGGTTAATGTTCACATTAACTTGAGGAGGAACGAGAGAGGAATAAAATCTCATCTGGGAAAGAAAATAACTGCAAAATGTTGGAGTTGGAAATAAAGTCCAATTGATTTACGATTGACTCTGTGGGCTTAACAGTGTCTGGTGTTTTCACCAGGTAGGATTTATCTGATATAATGTGAGAGAATTTCATTCCAAGGGTTTAGAGGGCAAACAAAAATCACAATGTGATATTTAATCATCTCACCTAGTCACAAAGTTTCCTGAGAAGGGAAAGTCTGGGGAGGGACCCCCGGCACTCCTGGGCTCCTGGCCGTGGCTCTCCCAGCCTGGTGTGGGATCCCTCTTAGATGCAGCAAATTGGATTCTGATGGTGGAGGATGATGAACAGAGAGTTGCCATAAAACCTGGGGGTTGCCTGGTTCTGACCCTTCCCACCAGTTTTCCCCCTTTCGCTTCTAAATGTGAGTTTGACCCTTAAGTAATGAGGCAGGTTTTTAATAGTCCCACCAGCCCTTGCAAGTCCAGACGAACATTGTCTCTTAAAGAACGTGCTTTGGGGAGCAGCACACGGACTCCAATACAGCTGTTACTAATAAAAATGTTTGTGGCCCTCTTTTGGAATTGCCTTTTGTGTCAATTATGAGGTGCAGGAGACAAATCCAGCCCTCTGGCCATATGTTGTTTTTGACCAAAAATGGTCTTACCCAGCTTATCCGGCAAAATGGCCCAGCAAATTCAGCTAGCTGGCTTTGGGAAATGGCTTAAGGATTTTTGTCCAAATTCAAATCCGGTGTCAAAAGACAACACTTTGCCAGTATCGAGTGTTCCAAAGTATATGCCTTGTGATCTGAAAGCAACTCCTCAAGAGGAAACCAGAGCCATTTTGAGCAAGGACATTCTCTCTGTAGAAAGCAGAATCTCCCCAGAGGCTGCCTCCGAGGGATGGTCAGTGTCTTCATTTGTCAAGTTTGAATAGAGTTTTGAAAGCTCTGATTCTGAATCCCGGCTACTCATCAGAACTGCCTGGGAAGCTGGCAAAACTCTTCATGCTCAGACCTACTCCCCAGAGGCTCAGATTCAACTGGCCTAGGGTGGGGCCCAGGCATTGACTCTGTGTGTATGTGTGTGTGTGTGTGTGTGTGTGTGTGTGTGTGTGTGTGTATGTGTGTATGTGTGATTTCAATGTCTAGCAAAGATAAACCTCTCTGTTAAACAATCAATCTTATTAATTTCAGTCACAGTTGTTCTGTTTAACTTTTTTTTTTTTTTTTTTTGGTTGAGATAAAAATCTGTTGCAGCTAGGCCAAGAGGCATCACTGAAGGTTAATCAAACACAGATGGGGGAAAGGGTTTGAGGGGGGTTGGACTGTTATTAGCATAAATTGGCATTGTGTGCCATGACCACGAGGGGGCAGACTGTAATACTTACCAATAAGTGTGCAAAGAAATTAGCTTTTAATAGAAAAACAAAAACAAAAACAAAACCCAAACCCAAGAAATGAAAGGGAAACTGGTTGGAAGTTTTGTTGGTGATCAGTTCACTCCCTCCTTTCACTAGGTCTTTCAGATGCATGAGTCCCTCTAAGATGCCACAATGGAACTGCCAGCGCCCACTAGAGAAAATGGGGTGGCATTGCTGATGGGTTTTGAGCATTGTGGCTGAGTGCATGGGGTGTGTTGTATCCGTCAGTCCATCACCTTATGTAATCCCTTAGTAACCCTAAGAGACAGCATTATCCCCTCCTTTTTGTAGATGAGAAAACCGAGGCCCAGAGAGGTAAAGTCTCTTCCATAGCATCACATGACTATTAAGTACCAATAGGAGATCAGAGTTTCAAATATGGGTCTTTTTGATTCCTAAATCCATGCTCCTTCTTGACGTACACTGCCTCTATGTGGAAAGATGTTGCTCTAGTGTGTGAATTTTCATGATTGCTTTGTTATTGTGGATCAGGTAGATTAAAATGGTGCTCTTCCTGTCATTCTTACAAATGACATGCACTACAACTGCAGATGCACCATCTCAGATGTGAAGAGTCAGATTCTGTGTCCCAATAGCAGCTTGAAGTGTAGGGGAAGGAGATCAGGGCTAAAGGCCTATGAGGAAATGGTCCCTTGGCTGCCTATGTCCCCTGAGAGAATGAAAGCCCTGTGGGGATAAGGCCCTGTCTGACTCACCAATCTAGTTTTGGCACATCATGGATACTTAGAAATATTTGTCGAATACCCTAGTTGAAGAATGCATGCATACGTGAAAGTCTTGAGGTCTAAATTAAATTCCCGATCTGAAGAGTATTACCTACCTCATCTTGTCTAAGTTTCTCTGCATGTAGCCTCCTTATCATTAGGTCCAATTGATGGTTCTAGGTGATATCTAAGATTCTGCTAAGATCCAGCACTTCCAGACTCAGCTTCCCCCTGCTCTTTGGGTAGATGAATATGAGCAGGACTCTGGGGTTCAGCTCCAGGGACAGAGGGAAGGAAAGGAGAAACGCTCAGAGTTTGACATGGCTATTAAGGAGCCTTCCCACTCTACTATCCACGGAGGCCTGAACGTGGGACAAGTGACAGGATGGGGTGATAGAGGAATCAGAAAGGCACATTCACTTTAAATGAGTCCCTGTTGCTTAATTTTTTAAAGTAAAAAACAGAGGGTGGTACTCTAGAGGGTGAATTCTTTCTTTTTTTCTTTTTCTTCCTTTTTTGGAATCAGGCATTGAACCCAGGGGCACTTAACCACAAAGCCTTATCCCCAGCCCTTTTTATTTTTTTTTTTATTTTGAGACAGGATCTCATCAAGTTGCTTAGGGCCTCACTAAATTTGATATGAGGCTGGCTTTGAACTTGTGATCTTCCTGCCTCAGTCTCCTAAGTGCTGGGATTACAGGCATGCACCACTGAGCTGGGCTTAGAGGGTAAACTCTTCATTGAATCAAACATAATTGTGGGATCTCACCATGATCTCAGGAAGGGGTTATTTGTCTCATTCATGGTAAGGGGCCCTGTTTCTCCCATCCTTGGCTTCCCCGACTGTGATCCCGTGGCTGTGCCATCTCCATGGGATTTTGGGTAGTAGAACCTGGGGAGGGAATTTTTTTTTTCATTAGTTTAAAAATAACAAATTTGCCAAGTTCTTGAACATTCCTCAGCCCCCAGAAAGCTGCTTGCTGCCGACTGTGCAACACACACTGTGCCTCCATCACACTTGGAGTCTGGGTAAACACACGTCCCTTGCCAATGGACACTTTTTGAAAGATGAAGTTTAGTTTTTATGGACTTTTGGATTTGTCTCCAGACAGACCAAAATGACTTTGCTCCTCCTGTTATGAGCATAATTGCAAGGGCATATGGAGTCTGGCTTTGGAGAACTCTTCCAAGGATCCAGGCACATGTCAAAGGCCAGGGAGAAGACACACAGGTCATTTTGTCACCTGTGGAGAAGGGGAATAATAACTCAAGACTGGTGTCCCCAATTCAGCCCTTGTTTCTTTTATAACTGACTTGACTCACATTCATTTAGAATATGGTACCATCCGTTAAAAGCCAAGTATGTCCTAAGCACTTTCTAGCTATTAATTTAATCCGTACAACATTTTCATCAGATAGGTACTATTATTGTCCTCATTGTGTGGATGGGGATACGAGAGGAAGAGAAGTCCAGTCCCCAAGGGCACAGTTAGTGCTGGAGTGTTTGTACTTTAAACTGCACACAATAGCCTCTCTCAAGAAGCATCTAGTAAGCACCACGGTACAACAGAACTGGCTCCTTGCCATGTTTTGATGTTGCTATTATTGTCACCACTAGCAGCTGAACTTAATTCTAACGCATATAGGTCCTTTTTAGAAATCAGGTCATGGGGAAAGCTCTTGCTTTCCATGGCTTTGGAAGCAGGTCAGCAAATGGGTTTCTGAATAGGGCCTGGGGCTAATGGTATTAGAATGACAGACCAGAGTGGGTTTAAATGATGGTAAAGATCTATAGGGACCAGGGGCCTGAGGGGACTTTGTATTTGTTGTTGTGTTCTTTTTCTTCAATGTTACAAACTTCAGGCCCCACAAAACCCAGATCCAGATCCAGCTCTGCCATAGTTGGATGTTCTAG